GAAGGTGGCCTCCGGGGGGGGGGCTGGGTGAGCCTCCAAAGGGTCCTAGGGTGTGTTCCATAAGACGGACCTCTCCATAAGGCTCACCAGTTTTTAGGAGAAGAAAACATTATTTTTTTCCTGTTTTCTTCTCCTAAAAATTTGGTGTGTCTTATGGAGAGGTGTGTCTTATGGAGCGAAAAATACAGTATTTCAATTCAACTATATCTTTCCCATTTATAGAGAATTCACATTAATTCACTTTTTATATTAAACAGAAATGGCCCAAATGGTCATAGCTCCTAATCTCAGTTTAAGAAATCCTTACTTATTAGCTAACTATTGAGTATTAAAGCTTGAATTCTTCAACACTGTATTTTAGTAATACAGTATGTATATTATGATGTTACAAAACCTTTACTTGGTTCACACTGGCCATGGGAACTGGATATTTATGTCAGCATTGCCCGACCAAAGGTCCTACACAAGCAGCTCTGGAGCTGATTTCATAAGGTCACAATTTGACACACCTCTTAATTAGGAGTAAATCCTACTGAAGTCAATGCTGCTTATCTTCATGTACATAAGTGTTTAGAGACATCTACTATATTGTAGAGTATTTTAACTGCTTGGCCTATATCCTGTTGCTTGTCCCAACTACAGTAGAATTATGGAATAAGTGGCATTTACATAGATATTCACTTGCCATTCAACAGGTGATTCCATGCACATACTCTGGATGGGACTAGCAATTAAATTTTGGTTCTTATATTATACTTTATGCAAAGCAAAATCCTCAAGATTTTGTAAAAGAGATCATTATTGTTGATTATGCTCTAGCTTGTTAAAAAGCAAATAAAGTTCGACATTTTGAGGACTTAAATATTTAAAATACTCTATGAATGCAGACTTATTTCTGCAAAACATTTATGAGTTGATAATATTGGGGTTCAGGGTTTTTTTAACCATTTCTTTGCATGTGTCTTTAAAACATTGCTGTGACACAGTAGAATCAGCAGTAGAACAATGTGCAAGTCACAAGACTGGGGCGATCAAAAACCAAGCAACTTGTTTCCCATAACTGCACACCAGTAGGTTGTCACAACTAGACTTTATACCATGCCATTCTGGAGTCAGGCTTTCAGATATTGGGTTTATCTGAAAAGCAAATGACTGGTTGGACCTGATTCTAAAATGTCAGGAAAAAAAATATGCCAGATGAGAATTATCTCATGCTTGGAAAACATGACTGTCCAGGGTGGCCCTGCCTCTTTAGGATCCATGCTAAAGGGCATGTCTTGAAACTTTAAGGTGGGCACTAACTTGCCATTTCAAAACTCAAAAACAGAAGCACATTCTACAATAGACTAGCTTAGATAATATGTTCATAAAGGGTACATAAACACATACAAAGTGTGCATTGGCCCCAACCTGGCCATTCTACATGTGTTATCATTGCCCTTTTCAGACATTGCCACTCAACATGGCAAAGCTGAGAATAGGGATAGCATCACTGGGGAAAGGACCAAGACATACATGCCCATACACACAATTTTACTTCTCACAGCCAGGCCAAAACCTATACAACATTAAACTGCACTCGAAGCTTGTGCCTCTGCTCTCTGATAATACTCAAACACTGCATAGAAAGAGTACCGTGTGCCAAGTAATTACAAATTCTTGGATGCTCTGGGATATGGAAAAGAACATGCCAAACCTGCTGGTGCATGCGTGATGGTGGAGGGCAAGAGCATAGGAAAGGCAGCAGTGCTGCTGAATGTCTGCATGATGGAAGAGTTTGAGTCCACATGAGTGGTGAGGGAGGAGTTGCTCGGTGGAAAAGTCTCTGTAGTGATAAAAGTGAAATCATTTTATCATCACCGTTGGTGTGCAACAGGCAAGCGTTAAAAGATCAGTCAGGAAACTTAAGTGGAAAGGAGAGAGACTGGCATTCCTGAGGTGTCACCAAACTTTTTGACATTCATTCAGTGGCAAGATTTCAAAATGCTAATACTAGCAGAAACCCTAGAACATTGTTGGCGAACCTATGGCACACGTGCCACAGCTGGCACACAGAGCCCTCTCTGTGGGTACACGAGCTGTAAGTCGCCATAGAGAAATACTTTACCCATCCTCCAATCCCGGATTTCGGCACTCCCCTCTGCTGGTGCAGTGGTCCAGCGAAGGGGTGCAATGGCGAACATTACTGGTCTAGCCCAATGGAGGATTGGAGGACCAGTAAGTATTTATTTTTTAATACTGCCCATAGGAAACAAACAAACAAACAAGCATTTAACCCTTGCAGTGCAGGAGCAGTTGTTTTTTTCTAAACTAAAACCTCAGCATTCGGGTTTTAATTGCAGTATTGGCACTCTGAAATAAATAAGTTGATTTTGTTTTGCAGTTTGGGCACTTGGGCTCAAAAAGGTTGACCATCACTGCCCTAGAACATGAAGGCCCAGCAAAGAATTTCATGGCTGCATTCACTCACTTTGTATCAACCCGCTTTTAAGATCAGACTTTCAGATTTGAGGGTTCATCCTCTTCATTATCATATATGGTCTTATATACCCTGTGCCAGAAAGTTATAGAACCTCAGAGTGAGATAAACAACTCCCAGTATTTATGTTTTATTGGGGGTTGCAGCCTCAGTTTGGAGCCATGCCTGTTACAGGAGATTCAGTTTTATTGTACAGCCATGTTTGCAATCTGCTCATGCTTTCCTTCAGGGCTACTACCACACCAACTACCACAACATCTGTCAGCAGAGCCCATTTGAACCTTGTCCTTTTGACAGCACTATGCCCTGCAAAAAAACCTGTACTGTCATGTCTCAATGATAATCATTATTGTTTGTTGACAGCAACAGATCCAGCTGCAGTCAAGTGCAGGAGCCAAAATGAGGAATACCACAGGACCATGTCATGTGTTATATTCAAATGAGATGGGTTTCTGCCAGGCCTTCATGTGATGATGGCCAAATCTAACCACAGGAGGAGGAAACTCTATCACACATTACACGTAACACACATCCAAACACCACAAAGTGTTTCTCTAGTGTAAACTGCCCAGAGAGTGCTTAAAGTGCTATGGAACGGTATATAAGCAGCATGCTTTGCTTTGCTTTTAGTGTCATTATAATTGGTTCAGCATTCATGAATGTCCTTTCATACACACTACTAGCCAAGCAAAGAAGTAGCATTATGGTATCAGATTTCCAACACTGCAAGGATGAATGCAATGGGCCCACACAGCCACCTTCAGTCATTGATCTGTGTACCAAGTTTCATTGCCTTTTATATTTAAATAAACAGAGATTTCCCATCCACTTACCCACAGTTACCTCCTTATCAATGGATTACACAGTTGGTTGTCCCGATTGTTTACTGCATTGCATTGCCATATTATAAAATCCAAGTCACAAGAGTAATGCTTCCAGCCACCCAATATTTCAACTTGGAAATATTTAATATTTCTCCACCCCCACCCTTGAGGGAATGCAGGACACCTGAATCAGTACAACCTGTATTGTGGAAACTCTCCAAAGCAAACCTGTGACGGTGATGGAAGCAGTAGAAGTAGCACTGGTTTTGCTAACAGACTTTTCAGTAGAATTAGAGGTCTGATAAGGAGGAACCACTGCTTCTTTCATTGAAGAGCTGGGATGTGTTTCCAGGGTGCTTGCAGGTGAGGGCGGAGTGGAGAGTGGAGGTATGAATGAAGGGCCAGGAGCTGAAAAGAGAGTTGTTTTTCCTATGGCAAGCAGATGGGGTGGGGACAACAACATTTCAGTCATGGTACACAGCAGAGCCTTAAACAGAATGGGACAAAATGACAAAACCCCAGGAGACTATGCAAGCAAAATTACAGTGAACACTATGAGGAGAAAGGTGAAGTAAAAATGTTTTAAATGAATAAAATAAAATAAATAAATATGGTCCCTCGGATACATGTCACATCACGTATACCAGTAAGGGTCAATCTATGTGATATGATATTGGATTTCCTGACTGAAATCCTGATGTCTACTATACAAAAAGCAATTGCACGTTTAGATGGGCAGGGATCTGAATCACAGCTGCAGTGCATGGATTTACATCACAAACAAAAATACTGGTAGTTCCACTAGTGAAATTCTCTATGTTCTGTGTAGTTGATTGATTAACCTCAAGGACTATAGACAGGGATGGTGTGAGCTGTCCTGCTGTATGACGTCAGAGGACATACAATTCTTCCCCTGCGGGGAAGAACACACCAGATGACACACCTTCCCTAAGTCTTCTTCCTTGACCTTCCCTTTGGCTGCAAATACCTCATTTTGAGAGGTCAATCCACAGAGCAAGACACTGTGGGCAAGTTGGCCATGGAGACTGTTTGTGGCATGGGTATTCAGAAGCCTGAGGCATTTTTGAGACTGATAATAATATTCTAAAGACTGTATGCAATATAGATGATGTGACAAGAATCCTCCCAACGGCATTGTAGACGCAAACCACAGAACAAATGTGGACCCTTTTAATCCTTAGTAGTTAATTTGGAGTAATTTTCACCCTTTGGTTCATAAATTGTGATTAGGATAAACATGGATTAGAACAATAGGACATTAATTCTCATGTTCTATGCAGAGCAAGTTTATATGTGTGCGTCTTAAAACATTTTAAATACTGTGAAGCAGCTTTTATTTCAAAGTTTCCTGGGAGCTGAACTATCTGCTTGAAATACAATAGAGTGGCTTCACCAAGAAATAATAAAAAAACATCCTACTACAATCATTTTTGTGAATACAAAAGACAAATAAGGCACAACTAATGCAGGCAAATATTTAAATAGAAAATCCAAGATGAATTAGTAAATCAAAAATAGAGGACCAACACTGTGAAGCCAAACCAGAACAGCATCCCACAAAATTTTACAAAGATGGAAATGGGAAATGATTAAATGTGGACAAACAGGGTTGCAATGAAGAGAGGCCATGGTCAACGAGTAAAAACAAATGTACGTAAGTAGTTTTCTTTGTAACAAGGCCAAGTCCTTCCTGAAACCATTTTCAGCAGCTTCACTATAGTAGCATGTCCTTCGGTAGCATGTCCTTGTTTGTTCCTTCTAAGTTCACCCATATGAATTTAGTTTAATGTATCATTTTAGGCTACTTAAATTATAAATGAGCCAAATCCTCATGCAATGCATATTTTAGACATTAAACAAAGTCTGATCTAGTTCTTCCTGTTTTCCTTCCCACTCCTACCATTCCACTGTTCTACATTAGGAGACAGCAAAATGTGAGTGCATGTGTACCTTTTCCCACTCACTTTGTATCAACCCGCTTTTAAGATCAGACTTTCAGATTTGAGGGTTCATCCTCTTCATTATCATATATGGTCTTATAGACCCTGTGCCAGAAAGTTATAGAACCTCAGAGTGAGATAAACAACTCCCAGTATTTATGTTTTATTGGGGGTTGCAGCCTCAGTTTGGAGCCATGCCTGTTACAGGAGATTCAATTTTATTGTACAGCCATGTTTGCAATCTGCTCATGCTTTCCTTCAGGGCTACTACCACACCAACTACCACAACATCTAGAACTGTCAGCAGAGCCCATTTGAACGTTGTCCTTTTGACAGCACTATGCCCTGCAAAAAAACCTGTACTGTCATGTCTCAATGATAATCATTATTGTTTTGTTTACAGCAACAGATCCAGCTGCAATTAAGTGCAGGAGCCAAAATGAGGAACACTACAGGACCATGTCATGTGTTATATTGAAATGAGATGGGTTTCTGCCAGGCCTTCATGTGATGATGGCCAAATCTAACCACAGGAGGAGGAAACTCTATCACACATTACACGTAACACACATACAAACACACAAAGTGCTTCTCTAGTGTAAACCGCCCAGAGAGTGCTTGAAGTGCTATGGAGTGGCATATAAGCAGCATGCTTTGCTTTTAGTGCCATTATAATTGGTTCAGCATTCATGAGTGTCCTTTCATACACACTGCTAGCCAAGCAAAGAAATAGCATTATGGTTCAAGATTTCCAGCACTGCAAGGATGAATGAAATGGGCCCACACAGCCACCTTCAGTCATTGATCTGTGTACCAAGTTTCATTGCCTTTTATATTTAAATAAACAGAGATTTCCCATCCACTTACCCACAGTTACCTCCTTATCAATGGATTACACAGTTGGTTGTCCCGATTGTTTACTGCATTGCATTGCCATATTATAAAATCCAAGTCACAAGAGTAATGCTTCCAGCCACCCAATATTTCAACTTGGAAATATTTAATATTTCTCCACCCCCACCCTTGAGGGAATGCAGGACACCTGAATCAGTACAACCTGTATTGTGGAAACTCTCCAAAGCAAACCTGTGACGGTGATGGAAGCAGTAGAAGTAGCACTGGTTTTGCTAACAGACTTTTCAGTAGAATTAGAGGTCTGATAAGGAGGAACCACTGCTTCTTTCATTGAAGAGCTGGGATGTGTTTCCAGGGTGCTTGCAGGTGAGGGCGGAGTGGAGAGTGGAGGTATGAATGAAGGGCCAGGAGCTGAAAAGAGAGTTGTTTTTCCTATGGCAAGCAGATGGGGTGGGGACAACAACATTTCAGTCATGGTACACAGCAGAGCCTTAAACAGAATGGGACAAAATGACAAAACCCCAGGAGACTATGCAAGCAAAATTACAGTGAACACTATGAGGAGAAAGGTGAAGTAAAAATGTTTTAAATGAATAAAATAAAATAAATAAATGTGGTCCCTCTGATACATGTCACATCACGTATACCAGTAAGGGTCAATCTATGTGATATGATATTGGATTTCCTGACTGAAATCCTGATGTCTACTATACAAAAAGCAATTGCACGTTTAGATGGGCAGGGATCTGAATCACAGCTGCAGTGCATGGATTTACATCACAAACAAAAATACTGGTAGTTCCACTAGTGAAATTCTCTATGTTCTGTGTAGTTGATTAATTAACCTCAAGGACTATGGACAGGGATGGTGTGAGCTGTCCTGCTGTATGACGTCAGAGGACATACAATTCTTCCCCTGCAGGGAAGAACATACCAGATGACACACCTTCCCTAAGTCTTCTTCCTTCACCTTCCCTTTGGCTGCAAATACCTCATTTTGAGAGGTCAATCCACAGAGCAAGACACTGTGGGCAAGTTGGCCATGGAGACTGTTTGTGGCATGGGTATTCAGAAGCCTGAGGCATTTTTGAGACTGATAATAATATTCTAAAGACTGTATGCAATATAGATGATGTGACAAGAATCCTCCCAACGGCATTGTAGACGCAAACCACAGAACAAATGTGGACCCTTTTAATCCTTAGTAGTTAATTTCGAGTAATTTTCACTCTTTGGTTCATAAATTGTGATTAGGATAAACATGGATTAGAACAATAGGACATTAATTCTCATGTTCTATGCAGAGCAAGTTTATACGTGTGCGTCTTAAAACATTTTAAATACTTTGCAGCAGCTTTTATTTCAAAGTTTCCTGGGAGCTGAACTATCTGCTTGAAATACAATAGAGTGGCTTCACCAAGAAATAATAAAAAAACATCCTACTACAATCATTTTTGTGAATACAAAAGACAAATAAGGCACAACTAATGCAGGCAAATATTTAAATAGAAAATCCAAGATGAATTAGTAAATCAAAAATAGAGGACCAACACTGTGAAGCCAAACCAGAACAGCATCCCACAAAATTTTACAAAGATGGAAATGGGAAATGATTAAATGTGGACAAACAGGGTTGCAATGAAGAGAGGCCATGGTCAACGAGTAAAAACAAATGTACGTAAGTAGTTTTCTTTGTAACAAGGCCAAGTCCTTCCTGAAACCATTTTCAGCAGCTTCACTATAGTAGCATGTCCTTCGGTAGCATGTCCTTGTTTGTTCCTTCTAAGTTCACCCATATGAATTTAGTTTAATGTATCATTTTAGGCTACTTAAATTATAAATGAGCCAAATCCTCATGCAATGCATATTTTAGACATTAAACAAAGTCTGATCTAGTTCTTCCTGTTTTCCTTCCCACTCCTACCATTCCACTGTTCTACATTAGGAGACAGCAAAATGTGAGTGCATGTGTACCTTTTCCCAATGCTATGTTGCCAACCTAGACTAATCACAAAAAGAATCTGCTGATGAATCTGCTGTAGAACTGGATCATGCCCAACATATAGCTAACATTTCACAGAAACATAACTTAATCAAGGATCATCTCTTACCATTTGGAGAATCAGAGGAAGGTGGTCCAATTTTGGGTTGGTCTAGAAGAAAAGAAGGAAGACGAGTTTATAATCTGAAATGCAGTTTGCAAATCTCCTCCTCAAATAGGTTACGGTAACCTTAGTAGGACTTGTTTAAAAATGAGGAATGACGTGATAACAATATTTTAGTTATTTTTAAATGTATGGTCTGCCAGCGCAGCTGCATGGACCCCTTGAAATGGTTCCTTACATCACACTATAAACAACATCAAAAGGAACTATAATGAAGGGCAATATTCAAAGCATTACAAAGGAACCCAGTTTGGAGCTGACCAAGGTATGCACCAGAACCACCACTGGGCAATCATTATTTGTGGGGAGTTCAGTTTCATCCAGAACACGGCAAATTCCACTATCCGTGAAAAATGAAACACGTATAATGAGCCATCTATCAGCTGCATCCACACCTTGTGGGGAATGAGCTTCAGTTTATTATGCATACACTGCTTGAGTCCATACACCAGTTCTACTGCCTGACAAATAAAAATAAAAGGGTCCCTGTGTGTAGAAGGGGTATTATCTGCACTACAGATAACAGTAAACTGCAAATGGATGGCCTAACTCAGTGATTTCATCACAAGCTGCTTCATAATCACAAATTTCTTCATAGCGTCAAAAGTTCTTCTTAGGGCCAAACTATACATTATGGATAGCTTGTTATGGAACCTAAAATCACATTCCTGTTCAGGAGAAGTGATTCAAGCTACCCTTCCTATCTGAGAAAATGGACTGATGGCATAATTTTAATTAGCCAAGACAGCTCTATATATGCCACCTCTCTCCTCATAAGGGACCCAAGGTAGCCCATGACAATTAACACTGTATAACAATCACAAATTTTGAAAATGCTGTAAAAATGTGTTTTTATCAATAGCCACAAATTAGAAACACATTTTAAAACAATAAAAAAAATTAAAAATCTCTAAGTTTAAAAATCTCTTGAGACCTCACACTTACTGCTTAAAAGTCTGCCTAAAAAGGAAGATCTTTGCCTGATGACAGAAGGACAAGAGGGAGGGTGGCAACCTACCTTCGTGGGGCAGTACACTCCAAATCCTGGGAGCCCCCACCGAGAAGGCCTTCAGAAGTACCTGAAACCCAACCTAACCTTTCTGCTTACATTATGGGTGGGATTCACAGCTTTTCTGGCAACTGGATTCCTCCTCACAAGCAGAACCAGAAAGAGCAGAATCCATAAAGTGTGGACAGATGGTAATCACTGCTGGTATCATTCCAGAACAGGTTACATTAAACAAGCAATAAAAAAGGGATATGTGAAATATTTAATAAACCCATCAAAATCCATGTGGAACACAGCACGAAGACAAAATAAGACCCTTAAGACTGTACTGACCTGTACCACAGGGACACTTACTTTGTGGCACACAGAAGTAATATTAAGGACTAATAAATACGTAAGAGTTCAAAAACAATTAAGTATATGATTCAAGTAGCCAGTGACCCAGATTATTTGGGTCACTAAGAAGTTCTGATGGTTGAACACTATGTGATGCAGAAAGCCCAGCAATAACCAAGAACTGATTTCTAAAACAGAAAGGATAAATCCCAAAGCTCTTTTCCAGCAATCTTCCCACATGTATTAATAATACACACCTCACACAGTTTAACATACCACGTCTCATTTATACGCTTAGTATAATTCTTTCATCCCCTTCCTTAGTGATCTGTCACATGGTATATACCACCTAGCACAGAACAACGTGCCGTACGTATTTTGAAAAATTAAGACAGAGCTTCTAGTTTAACGGGCTCATTTCCTTCAACAGCCAAAGAGACCGCTGGGCCTCCAGTATAGCTGAAGCGTTTGATAGTCATGATCTAAACTATGCTCAAAAGAAAGTGGCATGAGATCCCAGCCCTTTTGAAGTTCAAAAGGTTTGGGCTTAGGAATGAATTTGTTCATCTCTCCAGTATAAAGGCTGAACTGAGACAGCTGTAAAGAGGAGAAAATTCTATAGGACAACAATGACAGGCAAGAGCTGAATCCTGCCAATCAGTGGAAACCACTGAAAAAGTGACAGTTACTTTATGCAGTTTTTCTTTCTTGTAAAAAGCATAAAATAAAGTGGTAGTTTATTGTATGGTAGCCAATACATACAAGATTCCTTCCCAGACACACACCCTAGCAAATAGCTCACAAAGAGTTACTTGAGACATTAACCTATGTTCCACAGAATTTATAACACATTGGAAACAAAGACATTTGCCACGTTTATGTTCATTCGCATGTTTTCTGTCTTTGAAGATATTATTGATCTACAATTCTTGTGGTCCCTTATCCTATGTTATACTGGCTACTAGGCCTGACGGATGTTGCAGGCAAAGAAGATCTAAAGCACCACACAGTGTCATTCAGGAGAAGGGGGCCATAAACAAACCAAATGATTTCTCCAATCCTCCTTGCACTGAAGAAGAAATTCCCAGCTCACAAATCACATAGAATAATCAAGTTGTTAGGGGCCTATAAGGCCATTGAGTCCAACCCCCTGCTGCATGGAATCCAGATTAAAGTATAGCTGACCCATTGAATGCCTCCAGTGTTGGAGAGCTCACCACCTACTGAAATAACTGATTCCATTGTCATGCCACTCTAACAGTTAGGAAGTTTTTCTTGATATTCGGCCAAAATTGGGTTTCTTGTAACTTGAACCTATTATTATGTGTCCTTCACTTTGGGATGATTGAGAACAGATCTGGCCGCTACTCTATATGATGATATTTCAAGAATATGAGGACTGCTATCATATCTCCTTTCAGTCTTTTTTTTTTCAAAGCTAAACATGCCCAATTCGTTTAATCTTTCCTCACTGGGCTTAATTTCCAGTCCCCTGATCATCCTTGCTGCTCTCCTCTGAACTTGTTCCACTTTGTTGACTTCCTTCTTAAAGTGCAGCATCCAGAACTGGACACAGTACTCAAGCTGAGGCCTAACCAGTGCTGAATAGAAGGGAGCTGGTACCTCACAGGATTTGGAGACCATTAATTCTGTTAATACACCCTAAAACAGCATTTGCCTTTGGTGCCAAATCTGCAGTGACTCATACCCTCAAATGAGAGCACCAAACTAAATATCCGAACTCTCATCCAGTCACCTTTTACTTCAGTGTATTTTCTTCTTATGTCCTGTACCTTTAGTCAAAGTTGATGCATTCAGCACAGACAGGTGCTCAAGAAAACAAAGAAACAAACAGAATGATGATGTATTAATTCCGTGTCTTCTGTGCTACTATTTTGTTGCCATCTCCCAGGTTTCAGGATTTCCCCATCTCTATTTTACTTCAGCTTCCTATCATGAGGCTTTGCCAACTACATTGTCATTCTCCTGCTTTTAAATGAATTGCTGCAAAGTGCAGCTCTTACATTTTAACACCTCAAATGATACAGAAAACTGTTGTGAATGCTTTCAAATTGCTGCCATACCTGGCAGGAGATAACATTTATACAAACCATGCATATATTTGAGAGGGAAAGCAGATACTAAAATATATACAGATCTTTGGGGGGGGATTTCACACCTCAGTGCAGAAATGAAAAGTAATGAGAATGTCAGCAGGAAATAGAAAATCAACAAGAACAAGAATGGTAGATTTTTGTACCCTGACCAACTTGCACCATATTATGGGACTAGTTATTTTTTAACTAGTTGCCAGTTTTTCTTTCAGAAGATTCAGCCCTGGCTCAGAATTGATTTCTCTCTCCAATTTTTCTTTAAGAAAATTTCCTTCTGGCTCAAAACACATCATACCTGTAGCTCCTGCAGACACCATACATGGATACAATCTGTCAATGTGTGGTTCCAATATAAGATGTTGTTAATTATGGGACTAGTTATTTTTTAACTAGTTGCCAGTTTTTCTTTCAGAAGATTCAGCCCTGGCTCAGAATTGATTTCTCTCTCCAATTTTTCTTTAAGAAAATTTCCTTCTGGCTCAAAACACATCATACCTGTAGCTCCTGCAGACACCATACATGGATACAATCTGTCAATGTGTGGTTCCAATATAAGATGTTGTTATATTTA